GGGGGGGGGGGAGTGGCACGGGGCAGTCTTGTAGGACTGAACTCTTAACCTGTGGAATCTGATACTATCTCTGGGAGGATGATGTCAGAATTGAGTTGAATTCTCAGGCATCTGAGAATTGTTTGTTGATGTGGGGGACACCCCCTCCCAGCATGGTGGAATTGGGTCCGGGAACCCAGTTTACGTATGCTGTTTTCAACAAGAGCAACAGCCATAGTTGTCTGAGGAAGAATTCCCGAGATACTTAATGCATCCTTATATATCTTAAGAAAGCTGAGATGTCCGTGTGTTTATTGGATACAAAAGGTGTTTCACAGAGACTTGGATAAAGGGGTGTGACACATGCTTAGCACGTTCCCATTTCCTGCTTTGTCTCTTTTCATGTTTTTATAGTTGATAAAGTTCAAGGCTTGCAAGTCCCTATGAAATTCCCCGTGCATCACCTGGCCCTGAGCTGTGACAGCCTCACACTCTCTGTGTGCATGATGTCCAGCGAGTATGGTCCCATTATTGCTTTTTTTGATGTTCGCACCTTCTCAAATGAGGTAAGCTACCAGCAGACTGACTCCAGTGTCACTGGGACCTAAGATTTCCTGGTGTGGAATTGTAACCTAGAAGTTCTTGGTTGACCCTTGAAGTCCTTTTCTAGATTAAAATATGGATTTGAAAAAAGTCCCTAATTATAGAATCATGGATCTTTGAGGTAGAAGGGGCTTCAAGAAATTATTTCATAATAGCACCTGCCCCAAGGTATTATTATTTCTCATTTACACATGAAGCAGCGAAAGCCTAGGGAGCTTTAGGTGACTTGCCCAAGACCATAGAGTTATTGGATAATGTCGGAAGTAACGCATCCTGGGTCTGTGGCGGCCTAATGCGGTGATCTTCCGTCCAGTTTATTGACGGTAACAGTCAGTAGTACTGAGTGCTGATGCTGACTGTGCCAGGCCCGTACTAGTGCTTTGCCCGCCTTATCCTTGGGCATGCCTGTCAGCGACGTGCGCAGTAGACACTGTTGTCTTCATTTTGTAGATGGAGAAATAGGCCCAGAGAGTTTAAGGAACTGTCCAAGGGCCCAACGCTGTTAAGAAGCAGAGCCCAGATTTTAATCCAGTGTCTGTGCCTTATCGATCATTTTGCGTTCATACGTCCCCTGCTGGGAGTCCCTCCCGTGTGCTGGAAGAATTGATTACCATGTTCAAAGCTGTGTCAAAATTGTAACAAAGTGGTTGTCATGTAGAGCTAATTTTTTTTCATGTTCATGGAGAAAAGCAAATTGTAATTTGAGAAGACTTATATATTTAAGAACTTTCTTCAACTGTTAAACATCTGTGCATTTATTAATTTATCTTCACTTCTGGGGATTTGTTTTAAAAGGCCAAACAGCAGAAGCGCCCATTTGCCTATCACAAGCTTTTGAAAGATGCAGGAGGCATAGTAATTGACATGAAGTGGAACCCCACTGTCCCCTCCATGGTGGCAGTGTGCCTGGCTGATGGCAGCATTGCTGTCCTACAAGTCACAGAAACAGTGAAAGTGTGTGCGACTCTTCCTTCTACAGTAGCAGTAACATCTGGTGAGTGATGAAGGCTTTCGCTCCCTAACACACAGTAATGCTGGTCTGTTTAAAAGTTAATTTCTGGAAATAAAAGCAAGTGGGTCTCTTGTTGTATTTGTTAATATTTGGTAGAAGTGGGCAGAGTGTTCTTAATTTCCTTGACACCAGTCAGCATCCGTGACTTCACTTGGATGCACTTGGGTTTCTAGAGAAAGGAATGTTTTGGTACAACTGGTTTAGAACTGGGTTTTTTAGAGTAATTATTTCTGGATCTAAAATAGTACCAAAAGTCATTTGTACCTTTTGCGGATAAAGCATCAGAAATACCAAATAGGAGCAAGACAATGATTTCGTGATATTTAAAACCTTCTTTAGTCCTTTGTCTTATCTAAAGACTAGAGTTTTGTGTACTTTGCAGCTTTCTGGGCAATAAAAGCATTTTTAGGAGTCAGTTCAGTGGCCCAGTAATAACTCGTAATTGGCTTGTATCGTCAAAGTGACTTTTCTCTTTCACTTTGCCGAGTGGGGATGAGCCTACAGTCTTTATGTAGTGATTACGTAGCTGTTTTGGTACAGACAGCACTGGTTTGCTGCACTGTCTCCTGTTTTTAACTGGCGGCATTCTCTTTGCGCAGTGTGCTGGAGCCCCAAAGGAAAGCAGCTGGCAGTGGGGAAGCAGAATGGAACTGTGGTCCAGTACCTTCCGGTAAGTCTTGCCTTGGTTCAGAACTCTTCTCGTGGAAGTTGCCCACTAGTTGGAGGGTGGTCTGGAGATCTCTCTGGTGTTTTCCCTATTAGAATGTTATTTATGCTCAGTGCACAGTCCTCAGCACACAGTGAATGCAGAAAATGGTAGAACTCCCCTCCCCTTCCATCCCTTGGTCCGTCTTCCAGGCACTCTGCGTTCTGCTTGGCAGTAGCCTTCCAGACTTTTTTGGATGCTCATGCAGATAGTCTACGTATGTGCACATTACTTTTGTTTTGCTTTTAAATAAAATGTGATTATATTCTACACAAGGTTCCCCAGCTTTATATTCCCAATTCATTCCGTAAAAATAGAGCTTAAGGGGAAAGGAGTTGGTGAAAAGCTATGACTAAAGCAGAATCACTTCGGGTTAAAGTGCAGTGTCTGTCCTCTAGCTGAGTCCACCTGAAAGGTTCAGTTTCCCTAACTACAGGCAACAAAGACAATGAGGCTTGTGTTGTTGCATGTGCACTGTCTCGTCCTGTCCCTGTGCTTTTCCTGAGATAATACTCGCCAGTATTCAGTATTAACTGGAGGGAAGGAGGGGTTCGCAGGCGATGCTAGGACCTGTACTGTTGCTTGTAGCTCCTTAAGAGACTGTTCTTGCAGGGGTGCATAGCAATGAATGAGATGGGACAGGTTTGAGGTTACGGTTTTGTCACTTGTTATCACAAAAAGTTATGTGAAACTTGGTCCAAACTTTAGGGCATTAGCCTATAAAAAGATAATACAATGAGTTTAATTTTATTGGTTTGCTGTTTGCCTTTTAAAAAACCACTTAATAGTATATTGTAGTCCTTTTTCCAACTCATTACATATAGAGCCACTTAATTCTGTTGAATGGCTGCATAGTAGTCCACTGTGTGGACGTGCCATAATCTGTCCATCTGTTGATTAATTGATGGTCGTCTCTCATGTGAGTGGTTTTGCTACTATAAATAGGTTTGCATTGAGCACCCCCATTGCCTACAATTGAAATTGTTTGTGTAGGTATTTCTGTGGGATAGGGTCCTGGAAGTAGGTACCTGTTCTCTGTGTTCAGTCTCCTAGCTGGGGAGGGGAAACTCCAGTGGCTTCTAGGGGAACCTACTGGATTTGACAGTTTCATTGGTTTGGGAATTGTTTCATTTGACACTTTTTTTCAAAAATCTCTTTCAGACTTTGCAGGAAAAAAAAGTCATTCCTTGTCCTCCGTTTTATGAGTCAGATCATCCTGTCAGAGGTAACACATCTGTTTCTTTATGGGCTGACCTTCAGTAAGGTGATGTGTGTATTACAGAATTTAAATGATGTGCTGTACCTACATACCCACTCAGGGAAGCGTTGGTGCCTCCTCTCTGAACACTCTCAGCATGTCCGTTAGGCAATTAAGTCGGTGTAACAGGAACTCTCTGGTGGACACTTGTGTTTCATGGCAGATGCCATTAAATGGATCCTGATTTTTAATATTAGAATTTTTCATAATTTTCCCTAATTATAATCCACCAGGAAAAAAAAAATGCCACTTTGGGATAAATTTGGGCTTCTAATCAGTGAAATCTGGACCTTGGTTAAGGCTGTGGTAGTTGGATTATTTATCCATCACATGTTAACTTTATAAAATACAGGGGCTATTCCAAACAAGGTGCTTTATTAGAGTGTGTCTCAGTTCTAGATGTGCTATGGATCGGTACGTACGTCTTCACCATAGTGTACGCCGCTGCCGATGGGACCCTGGAAACATCTCCAGACGTGGTGATGGCTCTGCTTCCGGTGTGTATACGAAAAGGGCTTCTGTCCTAATAAATTTGAGGCTTAGGCCTCAGTTTCCTTTTCTTGTGGTGATGGTGCAGCTTCAGGTGTACGATTTGAACACTGCACCATTGGCCTTGGGACCAAAGTTATGTTATTGAACCAAATGAGGGTCCGCTCACCCGATGCGTTAGCAAAGCCAAACACTGAGCATGGAGGTTTGCAATGGAGAAATCAAAGCCGATGTATGTGTAGGGCACCTGCAAGGAGAATGGGAAGCTATTACTTAAAACCCAAAATCCTCAATGGCTTTTAATCAGGGATTTTAAAGGCGGAGATTGAGGGTTAGGGCTCAGGAGAACAGAGTGCTGGCTGTGCAGGTTTTGGTTGGAGGGCTCTGGGATTTGGCTGTTTATGGTAAGATATGGTCAGGGTTTCAGCACCGGGCCTTCCTGCACAGCCACCCTGCGCTTCTGAAAGGGGTCCATCTTCAAGGTCCCGTGTTCAAGTCCCGGTCATGTTTTTGTCCTTTGGTTCCCCAAGGAGGTTGAGACTGGTTCCAGGTGCAGCCAGAGGTAGTGTTCTCTCCTCTGCACCTGTTTTGGCTGCGTGGCTTGTGTTGGTCAGTCGTCTCTGAAAGGCAGCTCAGTGTCTTGTCAGAAACAGGTGGGACCATTTTGAGCTGGTTCTGCAGTTACAGCCTGGTTTCCGCTTTGAGCATGTTCTATTGTAATCATACGGTGAAAAAATCATCAAACTTGCTTTTGCTTAGGCTGTGAGCTGCATCTTAGTAGATGTTAACCTGGGAAGACATTTTAGAAAAGCAAGAAGATTCCTTGATTTTCAAAATGCTTTCACCTATTTATTCATCGGCCAGGTATCAAGTGCCTGCATTGTGTTAGGCGCTGCTTTAGCTGAGGATACGGCGTCCCTGCTTTTGTGGGTCCCACATTCTAATGAATGTGCCAGTCCAAAGACGAGTATCGGATCCAGGGGTGATAGGGTGATGGGGAAGTAAAGTAGGGTACGTGAGGGGAGGTGGTGTCGGGCACTGTGGAGATTGGGTGGCTGAGGAGGGCCTCGGGAGGAGCCATTGGAGCAGAGAACCAAGTGAAGTGAGGGAGTCATTTTGAAGTTGGAGAAGAGAGAGTGTTAGTATCTATAAGGTTGTAAATTGCAATGCACTTTAAAAAATAAATGAGGCTGGACTTACATTTCCAAATGTCCAGAAAAACATTTGAAAATACATAAGCGAATGTCTAAATACAGTAACGCTTGTCATTCTGTTTTGCAACCTTGATTTACTTAGTAGTAAATTGCAGGTGTCTCTCTGTGTCAAATAAAATGTGGTTTGGCTTTGAACAGATTTGTGTAGCTCTGTTTTTAACTTTTGGGTTCCTGATGCAGTTGAATTTTTAAAACATGTTTACAGTCATGCCCCACTTAGCTTCAGGCCTGTGTTCTGCGAAATGCATCGTGCGACGTGGTCGAGTCTGCACTCACACAAGCCCGGGCGGCCAAGCCTGCGCACACCTGCCTGTGCGGCACAGCCTGTGGCTCTGTAGGGAAGAGTGTTCCCTCTACTCTTCTGTGTTTTTGACTAAGACACTGTAATGAAAGACAGACTAACAGGAGAAAAACAAAAATTTAATAGCATGTTTACCTCCTGTGTACGTGGGAGCCACCCAGGAAAACTGAGTAATTGGCTAAAATGGCAGAAGCCACCGCCTTAAACTCCACCTTCTGCTGTAGACAAAGGGTGATGCTGGGGGTGAAGGGGAGTTGCTGATGGGAAGCGGCCAGGAAATGCTCGGTAAACGGGAAAGGTCCTTACGCAGACTTACGCAGTTGTCTCTGCGTGGAGGAGCGTTTCTAGAGGTGAGGCCATTGCCCTCTCCCTGCAGGGAAACACCCTGACCGGTGGAAATTTCCCTCGTAAATGTTCTACAAAGGCCGACTGTACTTGGTTTTCAGAGCTTCTTGTCTGCTCTTTCTTAAAATGAACTAGCTTAAAATAATCCTTATGCCAAGTAGACATTTTGGGGTGACAAATCGTGTTCCCCTACAGCTCCTAGATTACAACCTGTATAGCATGTCATGTACTGAATGCTGTAGGCGGTTGTAACAGTGGTATTTGCGTAATGTGTTGCACTAGTTTCGTGATGGCTGTGATGTCATGGCTACAGCGTCACAAGTCAATAGGATTTTTTCAGCTTTTTGTAATCTTATGTGACCACAGTCATGTGTGGTCTGTTGACTGAAATGTCACTGTGCAACTCATGAATGTATTGAACGTATTTCTTATTTCAGGATATCATTGAGATTTCTATTCCTGGGTAATATTAGCACTAGTATGTAATTATTGAGGACCAGTGTTCCTTATACTGGGACAGCAGCTTTATGTGTATCATTTTGTTTCACACTCACAACAGCCTTTGATGTAGGTTTAGTAGATACGTTATTAGATTATATACATGAGCAAACTGAGTGTCAGGGAGGTTGAGTGATCTGTCCGTGCTTGTCCACCGGCCAGAAGATGACAGTTTGAGTTCAGTTTGGGTGACGGCCATCACTCCTGTCCCTTACACTACTCAGTGCTGCCTTTATAGCGTGTCTATATACTTAGAAGCAGATTTTTTAGTGCATTTTCTCACAAACGTAAATGGTTTTCTCGTTTAAGATTATCAGCTATGTAGGATTAAAGAAAAATTGCACCTGATATTTTTTTCTCTGTTCGCTGTAGAAAAAAGAAGAAAAGCACCCGGAGGTGTTCGTGAACTTCATGGAGCCCTGCTACGGCTGCTGCACGGAGAGGCAGCACCACTACTATCTGAGCTACGTGGAGGAATGGTGAGCCGAGGACGGCGGGGCTGCTCCCCTGCGGGCTGCTTCCCCTGCAGCTCTCGCAGGGCACTGCTTCTGCTTTGAAATTTTCTGTAAGAGGAAAATAGAGGCATGGGGTGCCCTGAACATCTTTTCAGCTGTTGCTAGGTAAAGCCTTTCTGGCTGTCCCTCTAGTGCCCCAGCCTTGAACTATGTAGCTCAGATATGTTCTAATCTTTAAAGACCCCTTTTCTTAATAACCCAGTGACAAGTTATGAAAATACTGACGTTCAGGGAACATAGTAAAAGTTGCCCTCTGAGAGCAGACGCTTCCCTCTGATAGGTGACTTGAAGCAAAGCCCCTCTGCCAACTCTTCTGTTTGAGGTGGTGTTTTTATTGGATTCCCACTAGATTCTGTGTCTCTCCTTTGTCTTAAGTCAGTAGGCAGTTGACCAAGTCTCCAGGGCTTTATCCTGTGAACGAAAGAGTTAAGTTTTACATCTAAAAATCGTCCCACTTTTCTTCAGCCATAGAAAACATACCTTCCTCTTGACATCTCAGGGCCATCCTCAGAGATGTTCCCACAGCCTTGAGGCAGGTTAGGACCGTTGCTGGGTTTGAATTTAACTATCTCCTGGTTTTGTTCTTCAAAGGGACTTAGTGTTGGCGGCATCTGCGGCTTCCACAGAAGTTAGCATCCTTGCTCGACAGAGCGATCAGGTAAATTCCTCTTATTTGTCACTTTTATGGGAAAGTGTTTCTGAGAAAGATCTTGGAGGGAATTATGTGGTTAAGAATCAGATGAGGTCACATCCCTTTTGATGAGTTCCTGGGTGAGAGCAAAGCTTAAATGACAGTGTCCTGGACCAGGTGGCTTGGACATTGCACTGGACAAGCACAGGTATCAGGATAAGCAGCTCTTCAGTGTCGTGAAAGCACTTCTCTTCTCTTAGATCCATCCCTGGCGTGGGTCAGACATGCTCTAACCAGCCTCCAACAGGAGTGTGCGTGGATGTGCAGGAGGGTTTTCAGCCCTGTTCTCTTTCACCGTCTTTATTTTTTTCCTGTGACTTGAACCTGCCGCTTCTAGTCAGTGAGTTGTAACCCATCCTTGGCAGAGGAAGAGAACTGTGTAGGTCACTCACCAGAAACACTTTCTGATTCTCTCAAAAAGCCACCAGAAAGCTGTGAGAGCCTGTGCCTATGAGAACCTACCCACCTTCACATGCCCTCCTGGTGGGCAGGGGGGCCGCGAGGCCGTGTAAGCCATGCTAAGCCAGTGGGTAATGAAGAGGGCTGGCCACAGAGGAGACGTGGTGAAAGGAAAACTTCCCTTTTTCAAACTCTGCCTTGAACTTAAAAATGTTTTGTGCGCCCCTTACACACAGACTTATGGCTCTTCACCCATTCAGCCTCTGTCCATCATTGGGCAGCAGGGCTCTCACTGTAAGTGCGTGGCTGTCACAGTGTCAGGGTGGGCCTCTGTGGGTCATAGGTCAGAGTTCAGCAGTCCAATTTGCTCTTGGATTGACTTTAGTAACGATTTCCTAATAGACAAATATTTTATGTATTCACACATTAAAAATATACTCTTATCTTTGCTTTTTACCAAAATAATTGGTGTACGTGGGGAGAGCGTATAAATGAAAACATCACCCCTGCTCTGCCCCGTCCCAGTCCAATTTTGTTCTCTCGGGGGACCATTTTTAACGTGTGAATTTTTTCTTCTCCTGGCTTCCTCCTTACCGAGCTCACAAGTGACCAGTATTAGCTGTAGACCTTCCTGGCTGTTCCGGCAGATGGGGGTTCAGCTCACGTGTAACCCTCAGATCCCCCTGCTTCCCAGGAGGGTCCTAGTGCCAGTTACCTTCTCCTGGTTACCTTTGTAACTCTTGGATCTTTACCTTCGTTTCTGATGCTGTCAGCACACACTGTGCCTCTGGATCCTCCGCTTTGTGAGCGGAGTGTCTCAGCACCCCCACCCCTGCCTCCAGCTCACCGTCCCCCACCCCTTCCAGCCTTTATCCTATGGGTCTTGTCTTTCGCAGTATCAAAACTGGTACTGTTTGCTTTGTGTTCCGTCGTGATTAAGCCTTTATTTTGTCTATCGATTGCTTTTCAAGTTGAAATCAGTCTTGTTTACGTTATTATGACTGTGACTATTACTCCACGGCTGAGTCCTAGAATATGATTATGTTCCCTTTCCTGACCCGCTTCTCATTTTTCTGTTACTCATTGAACATCGTTCCCCTTGGTTTCTTGTTGCCCAGTTTGGGTCAAAGCTGAAAGTTAGACAAAAGTGTTAGTGACTTTTAAAAGTCAGAAATGGTTTGTTGGAGGGAACAGAGCCTACTCAAGCAAACGAAAGCAAAAGGCGAGTTTATTGGATAGACTTGGTGGTTTCTCAGAGGTAGGAAGAGGGGCTCATGTGGGGAACTCCCACCAGGAACTGGAAGGCAAGAACTAAGGTCATCTTGTCTGTGGACCGGTGAGCACAGGCACCTGCCCAACTTCATAGGCTTTTCTACTCAAGACTGTACTGAGGACCAGCTGGGGGTCCTGGTCACAATGCCGGGCTTCTGGGAGTAGGTATGACTGGCTCAGGGCAGCGCTTGGGTTCACCCAGCAAGTTCAGGGTTCTGCCTGGCTGTGGTGGGCAGCAGGCAGTATTTATGCTTGAGGCAGGGGCTTGGTGCCCCAGAAGCCGAGAGAGAGGTTGATTTGGAAAATTAACGCAGCCCCTTGCTCCATGGGGACTCATGGCTTTTAGACCAACTCCCCAGATTTCCCAGTCTCAATCACACGTAAATCTAACCCAAGAGTGTTGTCTTTTCCTCCCTTGTATCTGAACAGTGCTGGGAGGAGCCAGTGCAGAGCTCTGCCTGACATTCATTTTCTTCTACTTGTCTTTTTCAGGTTAATTGGGAATCTTGGCTCCTAGAGGATTCTAGCCGAGCTGAACTGCCTGTGACAGACAAGAATGATGACTCCTTGCCCATGGGTGTGGCCATAGATTATACTAACCAGGTGGAAATTGCCATCAGTAAGTGAAGCCTGGTGTAGCCCAGTGCGTTGTTTCTAATACTGGTTAACGTTTAAATCCAGTTCTACTGTTCACACCGGAATCTACGCTGCCACACTTCAAACTTGTGGTAGCACCTTGCTCCTGGAAGAGCGACAGAGTGCATGTGACAACACTGAACTAATCTGCAGGGACACTTACTGATGAGGCCGAGGACAGACGCCCTCAGCGCCTGTCTGACTCTACTTTGGAATCTGGTGGCAGCCTAGACCGTCAGGGGTTCTGTTTCTCCTCATTCCAGTTCTCCAGTGACCTCCCAAGGGAGCAGTGCCCTGGGCCGTCCGCAGAGCAGCCCTTGGTGTGCGGGCAGGGACTAGAGAGTGGAGACCTCAGGCGCCTGCTCTGCGTGGCTGCTCCCAGCTGGAGCTGGCAGAGCTGGATCCCATGAGTCGTGCAGATGCAGCAGAGGACATAGTCTTCAGTGCTTCAGCTAGAGGGGTGTCCCTGTCAGGCACCATGATGTGCCTCCTTTCCCTGGTTAGGTTGTTTGGTCTGATGAGCTCTTACTCTGATTCTTTGGGAGTCTTATTGACAAAACCCATGCTTATGATTCAACTGTCAGTGAATGAAGTTAATTTGATTCACCTCCCTGTCCCACTGTGTGTTTTCTAAAGAACCTAGTCTGTCATTTTTCCACCAAACCAGCCTCTTCTAGAGATTTCTGTCTTGGGCAGGGGAGCGCTGAACCTACCTCCTGATCACCGAGACACTGGGAAAATCGAGGGAGCTTTGGGAGAGTCCGAGCGGCTCCTGGACTGCTGCGGCCTCTGTGGGCCGGCAGGACAGTGGCAGTGTCATGGCAGGAGCTCTCTGGGAAGGGCTGTTGTGGGAAAGCCTGTTCAGAACTGGGTCAAAGCCAGGGGACCAGAGTTGTCGGGCCGAGTCCATGAAGCCCCCTTGCTCAGGGCAGCCTCTCCCTCCCTCTTCTTTCACTTGGTTTTCTTTCTTAACAGGTGATGAGAAGACCCTCCCTCCTGCACCAGTTCTCCTGTTACTTTCCACAGACGGTGTGCTCTGTCCCTTTTACATGATCAATCAAAACCCTGGGGGCAGGTCCCTCATCAAGACTCCGGAGCGACTGTTGTTAGAAGGAGAGCGACAGCCCAAGGCATCAGGTATATCTCCCGCGTTGGCAGAGCGGGACTCCAGGGCTGCACAGGGCTCATCCCAGGGATGAATATGAAAGAATGTGGTTATCTCTGTCAGGACGGTCACTTACTGCGCAGGGACCAGGTTTCTCCGAGAACAACAAACACATGCGTGCTCGCCTCCCTCTCTTGTGAGCTTTATTCTCTAACCTGTACTCGACTTCCGAGGGAGAGGGAGCTCAGCCAGGTGGGTCCCGTCAGGGCGCTTACCAAGGACACACACAGGAATCAGCAGTGAGTGCAGAACTAGGGAGCGACAACTGAAAGACAGTTTAAAAGTTGTCATAGGCTTTATTCTTAGGAAGTGAGTTTACTGGGTTCATTTTTTATGATTTTTGAGACATAATGCTCAAATGTTTACTAAAAAAATGTGCTAAAGTAGGTAGGTATTAGTAATATAAGGTTTCAGGTTCATTTTACCCTTCTGAACATAGGGATTATAGATATTTAAATTTTGATGATTTAGGGGACGGTTGTGTGCCTCATTTAAATTCACATTTCTTTTATTAGATTAAATATATTTACTTTCTGTGAATTAGTTTCCCAGCTTATATCTATTAGAGTCGTGAAATTTTTTAATCTCAATTTGTCTGAGCTTTTTGCTACAGGTTTTTTCCACTTACGTTTTAGTTATGTAACTATCTTTTTATAATGTCAGATCTTAATCCTTTGTGGTTTTTTGGCACTTCTAAATTTATTAAGTTAGACTCTCAGAGACTTGGCTCACTTTCTGCCTCCTTCATTTGAGATACAATGTCTCTGTGTGCTTTGCTGTGTATCTTTAATTCACCTGGCCTTGCCTTTAGTGACTGATGGAGAGATCTGAATTAAAATTTGTCCTGGGTGAGTGAATGTTGCAGAATGACTTGTTTGCACTGTAACACTGAGAAGTGTATTTTCTCTGTTACTCACCTGGGCGTCCATGAAGTGCTGTCGGGCTGACGTCTCCGCACTTCCTTTTTCCTTCAGAGTTCTGGAACCTTAGTGGACGTTTGCTGTGGAAGATGCAGCAGCAGTTCCATCGCGTTAGTCTCTTTTCCCTTCAGGAACCAGGACCTTGATTTCTGGCTTCCTTCTACCACTGACCCTTTGCCACTGGCTTTCTGTTATGTGCCCTCTGCGGTTACAGTGTTAACTTGTCTCTCGCTTCTCCGTTTTCTCGTTGCAGGAAGTACTCCCACGACCCCAACCTCCCAGGCCCCGCAGAAACCCGAGGCCTCAGCAGCCGCAGCTCCTGCCTCTGCCCCTGTCCCACCTTCCCTGCCGGCTGCTCCCACCCCCGCCTTCTCTCTGCCCTCTGCTGTGGGGGCCCCTGCCCTGTTCTCCTTTGGTTCTCCATCTTTGAAGTCATCTGGCTCTGCCACCGGGGAGCCCCCTCCATACCCCAGTGGCCCTGACACTTCCAAGGCAGCGGCGGGCTCTGGCGCGGCTGCCTTCTCCTTCGCGCCTCCTCAGACCCCGCTAGCGCCACCTGCCGGGGCCTCTCCCTTGGCGCTCGCAGCAGCTTCCTTCTCCTTTGGCTCATCGGGTTTTAAGCCGACCCTGGAAAGCACACCCATGCCAAGCGCATCCACTCCCAGCATCGGAATGAAGCCTTCCTTCCCTCCCTCAGCCTCTGCAGTCAAAGTCAACCTCAGCGAAAAGTGAGTGGCACTTAGGTTTGAGTTTTCCATGGGGCGGGCAGACACACCATGTGTTGGGCACTGACGACAGCCTCTGTGAGCGGAGTGACTGAGTAGATTTTCTGTTTGTTTTTTTGTGTGTGTGTTTTTTTCCCCAAAGTAATACTAGGAAATGCTAAAAGTTCAAACATAAAAGGTTTGCATTTTGTTAGTGGGACAGTGCCTTGAAGGGTCTCGGAATTTTTTTTAATCATTAGAGGTTTATACCTAAATACTTGTTGCTTTTTCAGATTTCAGACATAGGAGGTGCTCCTTGTTTTTAAAAGCGCAGCTGTACAAAGCGTACATCCTGTGAGGGAGACGAATCTCCCATAGTCCTTTCTCCCCTTTGTCCACCCTTGACTCTCTCTGAGCTGTTTCCACATGGCCACCCATGGTCTGGTGAAATTGCCACTATATCGGGTGACTCGCCCGTTGGCAGCCCGGTGGCTCCTCAGTGCTGGCCGAGTACAGCGCGGGCACCGCCGCGTGGTGCTCCAGCCCCTCCAGCTCTGGGGCCAGCCAGCTCGCGCATCGCACTTTTGCGTCTCTACCTGCTTCTGTCCTCCCTGGAATGTGAGCTTCTGAGGGACATGGTCCCGTGGACCTCGTAGTCAGCCAGCCACTGGTGGCAGCACCCCCAGCTCTCCCCACGCTCACCTGGACCATCTCGTTGCTGTGGAGGTGGTGCTAGCTGTTGTCGCCACTGCCACCATTGTCATTATCGATCTTGGATTGTCACACAGCCACTTTGTTCTAATAATTGCCCAGTGTTCTGTTTTGTGGCTGCATTATAATTTATTTTCCAGGTCATCTGATGTTGGACGATTAGATTGTTTACAGATGTTTGCTCTTGCGTAAAACTTACCTGACATTCCCTGTAGACTAAACATCCCAAAGAGGGTGACCTGCTTCCTCTTCTTTCACTCCTCAGAGGACGCGATCACCCCAAAACAAGCTCTCAGTACTTTTGTTGGCAAAAAGAGGGAACTAGACTCTTCTAAGTATAATTGAGTCACACCCTCTTGTTTTACTCAGCTAGACAGAAGAAGTATTTCATATCGCAATAAACTTGGTGTCATTTTCATGTTAAGTATCTACTTGGTAGTTTCATTGATTAATTTATTCCCAAGTAAGTGGAAGGTCAGATGGGTGTTTTCTTGCAGTGATAGCTAAACATTTACATTTCCTGAAGGCTAAACAGTGTGGCTAGTGAGTTAGCCTTTGACGCCTTTGCTCGTGAGCAGCGTGAGAGCCTCGGGCAGGCTGTTCTGATGCATTCGGGCTGCCACTTCCAGGTTTACCACCGTGACTGCCTCCGCCCCCGCTAGCAGCGCTCAGAGCACACCCATGCCGTTCTCTGCCTCCAAGCCAGCCTCCTCGGGACCACTCAGCCACCCCACGGCCCTCTCAGCATCGTCCGGCTCCACGTCCTCCAAGTCCTCAGTCTCCCCCTCAGCGTCAGGTATGACTTAAAGCAGCTCAATCCTGATTTCTCAGGTTAACATTTTTCAGTAGTTAAGAATCCCAGCTGACATAGTTCGACTCAATTATTTTCTCATGCTTCCTGCATCTCCCACTGATGTGCTGTGACTCACACTCTGAGTGGGGAGGATTTCCAGTGGCCTCAGGGCTGCCACGCCTGTCTTGCTGATATTTCTCGTGAAGCTGAGTGTCCTTGATTCAAGTTGTTTTCGAGCATTTACCTTCCTGGGAGCCTGCCCATGCAGAGGGCTGTTAACAGAGCAGTTCTTTAAGCCCGCAGAGGAGAGAGCCTGCAGTGGCTATCATGCTTATGGCTTCTGGTTGACTGTCTTGGATTTTCACACTCAGTCCTACTGTAAGCAGATTTATTAAAGATCATGAGTGGAAATAATAATTACTATTATTATTTTCATTGATTTTAGAGGGAGAGGGAGAGAGAAAGAGAAGCATCAGTGTGAGAGAGAAACTTTGGTTGTCTCTGGCGTGTATCCCAACTGGAGACCAAACCCGCAACCTGGGCATGTGCCCTGACCGGGAATCAAACCAGACATCTTTTGGGTGCACAGATCAATGCTCAACCAACTGAGCCACATGGGCCCAGCAGAAATAATCATTATAGCCAGGTTGAATTGAAGTGTATTGTGAAACTCCATGAGCAAATAATCTTTTTCTATCAAACCTGCAGGAAGGTTGCAAAATTATAAAATGAATACTATATGCTTCACCAAAATTCAACACTTGCTAATGTTTTGCAGCATTTACTTTATCTCTTTTTTAGTACATTTTTTTCCTGAAACATTTGAGAGTTAATTGCAACGTCTTGAAACACCTCACGTCTGAGCGCTTTAGTGTATATCTCCTAAAAACAGGGCACACAAGCCATTGTCACATGCAGGACATTTAACAATCTGCCCACCTTCACATTCCCACAGTTATCCCAATAATGTTTTTCATGGGGGTCCCCCCAACCCCCCACCCAAGACAGGAACCAGTCAGGGATCACAGTATACTCCGAGTGTGTCGCATGAGTCTCAGTCTCATCCCTCTTCACTGTTTTTGTCTTCACAGCACTGGCATTTGGGAAGAGGTCAGGCCAGTAGTTGTGGACTGTCCCTCACTCTGGACCTGGTTGTCCTCATGATGAGGTTCAGGTTAAGCGTTTTGAGCAGACACCACATAGGTGACGTGTGTCAAGTTGCATGATTGGTTTTGTCCTCAGTGATGTTATCTGGTTCCTTGGTTAAGGTGGCATTTTCCAGATCTGTCTCTGTTTTTAAGTTGGTTATTGTCATGAGTGCCAGTGGTTGTACCTAGCTGACATATTCAGGTGGCCATTTGGTGTTTGAGTGACGGGAATAGTTTTATTTTGGTAAATGTCAAGCAGGCATTGAGCTGTGAAATTTCTGACATCATCTCTCCTTACTTGCTGCTCAGGAGAAAGGGTTGCTTTGTGGAGTTCGCCAGTCTCCTAATTCGAGGACTTTTCCTTAGACTCGGAAAGGCATCGTATAAGACCCAGAAAGTTCAGAAGCTTTGCCTTAGTCTTTCACAGCTTTTTATGGTCTGGGAGAGAAAACTGGATTCTTAGTGCACGTTTACTCCCTTTCTGCTGCTCACCTCCCAAATCCGTGCCCCCATCCCCTCCCCCATGCCATTGCTTAATTGTTAAAGTTTGGAGGGTCCTCCTTTATTGGCTCTCAATCCCATTTGCACACTAAACTCATGGGGATCTCTCCCCTAGTAGTTTAATAGACTCTGGGGTAACGCTTAGGTGTGGGTTTTGATGTGCTTTGTTTTTTTGTTTTTTATCTTCACCTAAGGACATGCTTAGAGGTGGGGCATAAACACCTATGTGAGAGAGACATCTGTCGGTTGCCGTCTGCATGTTCCCCAACTGGGCATCAGACCCACAACCCAGGTACGCGCCCTCACCAGAAATGGAACTGGCGAGCCTTCAGACGGCGCTCAACCAGCGGGGCCACTCTGGCCGGGTGGTGTGCTTGTTTTTTGAAAAAGTTGCCCCAGTAATTCTGATGTGTAGCTGGGTGAGCCTTGTGTTAGAGGTTTCCAGGAGGGTCCGAAGACCCTGTGAGTTCTTACAAGGTGATGGGGATTATTGTTCTCATCTGATGGTTTAAACTGTCCCCAGTTCCCCAAGGCGCCTCAGGAACACCTGTGGGGAGTAAGGATGGGCCAAATGACCAGCTTCCTGGGCCTGCCCCCAAATACTCCTGCCTATTGTCAGAGACACTATCTAGTTTCATCTGCTTTATAAAAGAGTTTCACGTCTAAAAATGTAATACATGGTTTTTAGTTGTCTTGGAGCAGAGGCTAACACAACTGTGGACTTCACTCTTGCTGACAAAGATCAGAAGAGGCGGCCAGGGACAGCGAGGAACTTTGTTCTTTTTTATTTGAGGGAAGCACATTTGAGATGGGAGAAATAACGGAGCAAGTACTGTCTGTTGTAACTGACTCTTGCTCTGGCAGGGCGCTCTGCTCATGGCGGTCCGGGTCCAGCGTCCTCAGTGGGGCAGAAGTCACCCAGGATAACCGCTCCGGTGGCAAAGTCAGGCTCTCCCCAGGTACGTTTGACCTCAGCTCACAATCCTGCTCCTGGACACATATGTTTATAAAATGGGTTTTTGTGTTTTTGAATTTACACTTTTGCAGCAGTACGTAGGACTATGTGGTAGGAAACATGAGTTTTGAATATTTGTAATGTGTCCATAAAAGCCGCTTATCCTGGCTCCAGGGCCTTCGCATCCCCTCTGCCGGTTCCTGCGCTTACACAGGTGGCGCTCTCGGTGTGCTCTATTCTCTTGATGTCTGAGAATCCTATAGCTTCTGCTTGTTTTCTCCTGTTCTCAAAGTAATGAAGAGATCTACCCAGTGCCCTCCTGCCCTACCACCCCATTTGATTTTACTTATTTCGTATTGACGTATGATACACATGGGGGAAAGTATACATACGAGACAGGCACCTCAGTGAATGGTCACCACCTGGACACACCTTGGTAACCGACACTCAGACTGAGAAGTGGAATGTGACCAGGACCCCAGAATTCCCCTTGTCTGTGCTCACTTCTAACAGCACAGCCTGGTTTAGGCTGCTTGTATCTCCTACAGGTAGAATCACATGATGTGTATTCTTGTATCTGCTGTTTGTTTGGGGGGTTTTTTGTTGTTGTTTTTAAAATATATCTTTATTGATTTCAGAGAGAGGAAGGGAGAGAGAGAGATAGAAACATCAGTGATGTGAGAGTAGTCATTGCTCGGCTGCCTCCTGCACGCCCCTACTGGGGATCGAGCCTGCAACCCAGGCATGTACCCTAACTGGGAATCGAACCACGATCTCCTGGATCCTAGGCTGATGCCCAACCGCTGAGCCACGCCGGCCAGGCAGTATCCACTGTTTTGCTCAACGTGTTGGTGAGGTTTATCTGTATCACGTCAGGTGACTATACCGCACATGTTCATTCCGCCCTTGATGGGCATTCCAGTAGCTTCCAGGTCTGAGTTACTGTGAACAGTGCTGCAGTGACCGTGCTAGCTGATGTTTTGGGGTGAACAGTGTGTGCATTTCTGTTGAGCGGACACCGACGGGTGGATGCTGGGTCCTAGACGGCACTGCATTTATTCCTCTTTAGTAAATTCCCACCGAGAGTATGAGAGGTCAGCTGTCTGCGTCCTCAATCTTGGTATTTTTCATCTTTTATTGTTGGTGTGTTTTGTGGTTTCAATTCATATTTCCCTGACGACCAGTAAACTTGGGCTTTTTTCCATACTATTATTAGCCGTGTGAATATCTTCTTTTACTGGGTAACTGTTCAAGTTTTTTTACCCATTTTTCTACTGGGTCTTCTGTCTTTTTCTTTCTGATTTGTAAGATTAGTTTCTCGTCAGATACACATACCTGCACACGCATACATGTTAAGTAAATACTTTTACAGCCTGCAGGTTTTCTTTCCTTTCTCTTGGTGGTTTCTTTTGATGACTACAAGTTCTTAGTTTTAATATAGTTTAATATATCAGCTCTTATTTTATGATAGTGCTTTTTGTGTTGTTTCAGAAATTACTTCCTATTCCAAGGTCAAAAAGATATTTTCCTATGTTTTTAAAAAGTTTTATTTTTTTATTACAGTTTACTTCCAGTATTGTTTTGTATTCGTTTTAGGTGTACACGTAGTGGTTAGACAATTATATACTTTACAAAGTGCTCCCCTTCTGTATTTTTCTAAAAGGTTCATTATTTTACTTTCATATTTAGATCTGCAATCTGTCATCTCAGTTTATTTTAAATTAACTTAAAGATAATTTTGTGTCAGTTTCCCACTTTATTATCTGTGTATCCTCAGCATGGGAGTCTTGTCTTTCCTTCTGCCTCTCCTCCAGCCAGCCCCCTTCCTGCCCCTGACACACAGTATGGGGCTCACAGTAATAGCTACAGGCCTGGCTTCTGGCACAATGCACAGCACGTGGTATTTGTTAAATGAGTATTTGCTGTTTTACTGAGTGCTTATTCATTCTGAAAACCCTCTATATGTTAATTTCCACAGGTATAAAATCATTGGAAAGTCATCTCAGCTATAACCTCTCTGAAGCAGAATTCTTGACTTTTGTCTCTCCCAGTACCTGTTCCTTACCTAATTCCTTTCCATCTCAGGAAATAGTGCCACCAGGTGTTTGCTGGGGCCCCAGACCCAGAGCCCCTCCCCCAGTCCGTACTAGCAAGTCTTCTCCGCTCCGTGCTGACGTGGAGTGTGTCATAAACCCACATCTCAGACCCCCTGCTGACATCATGGGTTTGGCCACTCTCCCCAATCATCCTCCTGACTGGTCTCCCTCTTTCTGCTGCTCCCTCTTGCTGTTGTCTGCGCTCTACTTAGCAGCAAAAGGGAATTTATGACTTTTCATAAATTAAGAGTAGCTTAAACTCCTAAAACTTCACTGGTAGTTTTCCAGCACACCTAGATTCAGACCCAAACTCCGTAGTGTAGCCTCACATGACCTGCCCCCGCCCTTTCAGCTCCCCTCTGACCTCACTGTGCCTGCATTTGCTCATCTCTTCGCCTTAAGCATGCCAAGGTCTTTCATGCCTCAGCTTCTTTGAACTTGCTCTTCTCGCCGCCTGAAGGTGTTCCTCCCAGAGCTTTCTCCTTCACTGTGGGTCTCGGGTCAGAGGCAGCATTTTCGGGCCATCTCACCTCAAGTAGTCCCCCCCCTTTTGTTTTCTGTATGTGCTCCAGTTTACTGTTTCCATATCGCTTATCACCAGCTGAACCTTACCTGATTGGTTTACTTTTTATGATTTGTCTCATCCCAGTAGAAGGGAAGTTCCATGAGCATTAGGATGTCGTGCATCTTTTCCACCTCTGTCTCCACTGCCTGAGCGCCTTCCACCAAGCAGACGCCCGGCAAATACAGGCTCAGACGATGGGTGACAGACAGTGACTGTTATGAGCGACATACCTGTGGCAGGCATGGAGCCCACTGCTTCAAGAAGCCACAACTTGGGGTATTGGATGCATTTTTAAACCTTTCACCTTCCGTTTCAGGCAAAGTCGCTTCTGCCTCCTGCAGCAGAAAAGCAGGGACACCAGTGGAAAGAGCCCGACCCTGTGATAGTCGGAATTGGAGAGGAGGTAAACTTGCCCCTGCGTGCTCTTCCAGTGAGGGCTCCCGCACAACTGTTTTATCCTGGCATTGAGCCTGCGTGTCCCAAGAGTCTGCTGTCAGTGAGCCCAGTAGCTCTGCCACTCGCACTGAGAGGTCTTGTGTGTGGCTTGTGCAGATCGCGCACTTCCAGAAGGAGCTGGAGGAGCTGAAAGCTCGCACTTCAAAAGCCTGTTTCCAGGTGGGCACTTCTGAGGAGATGAAGATGCTGCGGACGGAGTCGGAGGAGCTGCACACCTTCCTCTTGGAGATTAAGGAGACCACAGAGGTCAGTGTTGGCCGAGGGCCTGCCGCAGCTGAACTGCGCCCCAGCAGTAGCTCCCGGCGCGCCTGGGTGCACGCTCTTCTTCAGGGCCCTAGCGCATTCCTCATGTGTGCCTCATTCACGGGGGAACGCCCATGCTCATATCCTACCTTTGGCATCTAATAAACGGTGATGTTGGGCAAGCTAGTCTAGCTATTCTGCTTCCGTTTTCTCATGGGAACCAGAATGATACTAGCTTCCACCCTATCAACACATACAAGGACTCCGTAAAAGCTGCAAGTTGTTAGTTTAGGCATATTTGAAAATTTACTTTCATAGTAAAGTGTTAGGTTTTAAAAAAAGTGGAACACTTATGACCATAACACAGTATAAAGAGACCAAATAGTTATTGTTAATAGTATTATTTGTTGTGTTACTGTTGTTATTACTTACTACGTGCTGGGCACTGTGCTAGACACTTTACCCGATTTTCTCATTGAATCCAACAGCTGTGCTGTGTGACAGGCACTGATCTTCCTTCTATTTCACGAGTCGGGAAACGGAGGCTTAGAGAGGTGAAATAACATGCCCAGGGCCACCCAGCTGCTGAGTGCCAGCTCCAGGGCCCCACATCGGACCGTCTAACTCCTGAGTGCTGGTGTTAAATATTGTGCTAACTCCAGGGTGTTAGCAGTGCCCGTCTTCTTCAGTTAGTAGGACTACAACAACTGTTAATACTTTGCTTATTTTCTGGTTTCTAATCATTAGAAATGGTTTTTTAGTGAGGAAGAAAAATAATTTTTTAAAGTGAACATTGGTATCTTTCTCTAAGCAGCGAAATTCTTTTTTGCATAACTGTTCAAGAAGTTCCACCTTCTTTCATCCATAACACAAGGTTAATTTCTCAGAAATACCACTTTTTTTTTTTTACCTTTTTTTAAAATATATCTTCATTGATTTCAGAGAGAGGAAAGGAGAGGGAGAGAGAGAGATAGAAACATCAATGATGAGAGAGTCATTGGTCGAGCCCGCAACCCGGGCATGTGCTCTGACCGGGAATTGAACCCCGATCACCTGGATCCTGGGTCGCCACTCAACCACTGAGCCATGCCCGGCCAGGCAGAAATACCACTTTTTATATCAGTACACCCTTGTGCCTTTTCTAGTCTCTTCATGGAGATATAAGTACCCTGAAAACAACTCTACTTGAGGGCTTTGCTGGTGTTGAAGAAGCCAGAGAACAAAACGAGAGGAACCGCGACTCCAGATACCTGCATTTGCTCTACAAGAGACCGCTGGACCCCAAGAGTGAGGCACAGCTCCAGGTAGGGATCCAGTTGGAACGCTGCCAGCACCCCTGGGCCAGGCCTTCTCTCTGAGGCTTGGGGTCAGGCGACTACGCTATGAGGTGGTTCACTTCCTGTGAATCGTTTACCTGCTTCCCATGACTTCCTTAACTGTGCCTGAAAATATGGCACTCTTCCATGTAATGCTTTTTGGATTAAACAAAAATAGAATTCCTAATTCAGCCTTCAGCTTGGTAGAAAATATGCCATGGAAAGGATGCATTTAGAAATCAAGTCGTGAATAATAATAATAAAGGAGCAACTGTTCATTGAGCACCAGATAGTCTGCTAGGTGTTTTTTCACATTATTTTTAGTCTTCAAAACCAGCTGCACTGTAAGATGATTTTCCGATCCCATAGTGCAGATGAGGCAGGTGAGCCTCATAGGCTGAGGAGGTCCCCACGGTGGTGGTGGTCAGAGCAGAACCAGAATCAAGACACCCCCACCCGGTGCTGTCCTATCTGCCGTAATTCAGCAACACTGCTTTTCTCATCAGTTGTTAATTACTCTTATTTTCTGTCTTCATGAAATCTGGTTTTTGTTTTTATCTTTCAGTTTTTTCCAAACTGTTGGATCATAAGCTTTGGTGGGGGGGTCATCTCCCACTTCCTTGCATTTGTCTAGAATCCCCATAGGAGTGGGGCCCAGGGCAGCGCTGGTCATCCTGACCCAGGATGTGAAGGTCTGTGAATGTGAGGAATCCCCTCTGGCTCAGAAAATCCACCGTTTGCTTCCCACACCTGATCAGCTTACTGACAGTAGAAAAGAAATGGTCCCTCCTTCCAGAAAGGCAGAGGAACTCTGCTGTGTCCGCAGCCCTGTGGTTTTCCTAGATGCTCCTCCCACAGTGGGTGTTGACTCTCCTGGCCAGGGGAGTGCTAACCACTGGGCAGCACTCAGCAAATGCAGCCTCGAGTTACACTTTCTTCCTGCTGCCTTTTCACCTCTTTCTTGCTCTGTGTCCAAACTAGAGGAAAAGCACACAGCTGTTGGGCGATACTCCCCATTCAAAAGGAAGCCAGTTTCTTTTTTCACAGTGCTAAATAGATCGTACTAGCTAGCATTCACTGAGTGCGTGTCATGTACAGAACGGTGCTGGAAGTACCCAAGTCTCACCGCTGATAGATGCTGGACAGTCTGGCTCAGAGCCTGTGCTCTGGACCACATCACTGCAACGTGCAGTCCCCATAGCTGGCTAAGAGGCAGAGGGGAAAACGAACACACAAATGCAGTGGGAAATGTGTTGCTGTGGGATGACAGACGAGGGAGCAGCTAAGCCACAGAAAGGACGTGTTTGCCATGGGCCTTCAAAGAAGAGGCGGTTTTTCAAATAGATGAAAGTCGAGAGCGCTCAGAAGCAGCGCAGCAGCTGGTGCACAGAGCCCTGGCCGTGTGTGAGCGCCGGAGAAAGGGCCTCCCCGAAGTCGACTGTCAGTTGAAGTTTATATTTGATGCTGAGGTTACTGACTTCCTGGAATCAGCCAGCCTGGCCCCTTTTAAATGGCGTTTTCTCTTTCTCAGTCGGGGCATATGCTCTTACCCAAGAGTAATTTTGAAAAGATGTTTAAACACAGCAAGAACTTTATACAGATGCAGACAGCTTTCCTGTGTACACACATTGTCTTCATTTGTGTCCATATTTAATGGCCTGCTTCATCCTCACTGTTCATTTCTTAAAGCCAGGTCATATAGCTATGAAGGTTCACACTGGACCAAAATTTAAAGCAAACAATTGCAGGCCTAAAATAAGTTAATAGATAACAATTGTAATAATGAAAAACTCAGTTTCCAGTGCTGATGCTATTCTTTGTTTTGGAGAAGAAATGAATGTTTCTCAATTGGTGAGATGACTTTTGTGTTCTGTGTTATAATAGATAGGTTCAGAGGTCTTTCCAGCACTGTTTTGTGGGACAGTTTTGTCTCTAGTGCAGTTAATTTCAAGGGTGGGAGAGCAGAAACTAAATGGATGCCTTGTTGGAGCACCAGAGAGCAGCGGAAAATTCCAAGGCCATGTTGAGACACCCTAGAGGAGCTGAAAAATGAGAACCCAGCAAGAACATCTGCCCCTGGAGGCCGGGGGCCGACACGCCCATTCTGTTTCCATTTCTCTTCACCACCTCTGTCACACCCTCAGAAAGGTGGTTTCTGGATTTCATTTGGATTGTAACGTTCTGGTGATTATATTAAAACCTAGTGTTTTCTGGGTCTTTACGATTCTCTATATAAAAGTAACTCAGAGTTACCTTGACTGTTTCGGTACATCTTCCTCCAAACTCCTGGAAAACTGCGTCTTTTTTTTTTCTTGTAGGAAATCCGGCGCCTTCATCAATATGTGAAATTTGCTGTCCAAGATGTGAATGATGTGCTAGACCTGGAGTGGGACCAGCACCTGGAGCAAAAGAGAAAACAAAAGTGAGCGAGGCCCCATCCCCCAGGCGGCAGCAGAGAGAGCTGCGCCTTTTAGGAACATTGATAAAAACCCTGAAGTGTTTGTTCTCGTTGACCCCTCATTCTGCCTCTAGACACTTGTCCTACAGAAATAATGGCGGAGCTCTCAGCAGTTTACGTAAAGGGAATTTGTGCTGCAGCGCAGCCAGCTGGTGATGGAGGGAAAGTGGGTTAACCCTCTCCATCCACAAGTTAGAGGCGGCTCAGTAAGTCTGGTCGCCTTCTCTCCATACAGCCGTCACCGTGGACTAGCACGTCTCAAAGTTTATGAAGTATGTTCCTTACGGTACATGGAGTGTGTGAGATGCATGGTTATATGACTGTATTATTAGATACAGTATGTAAACATGAAGTTAAGGCATAAAATCTGGGTGATCCCAGTGTGGAGCGCAGCAGAGGAGAGGCTGGAAATTAATCTGTCCGGAAGGCACAGGCGCAGCTGCGAGATGGGGTCAAGAGGTTTCTTCTTGATCCTCGTGTGTGTATTCCAGGTTCTCTTTTTAGGGAACGTTCCTGATCAGCATGTGGCCAGTGGAGGGATGAGAGGAAGGATGGGAAAGGACGGCAGGGGGAGTGGAATGCAGTGCGTTGTAAGAGCAGCCAGTGCCCGCAGCCATGCGGAAAGCAGATCAGTCCTCAAGGCGCTCCAGAGTGAAACACCTGCGGGGCTGAGTGTGATGAGCGTGGGGAGACAGACCAAGAAATGGTCTGTTTACTTGGTCATGAAGCTGTGGGGTCACAGAACTTGTAAGTGGGGCAGCCTAGGTGTGATGTCAGGGGCAGGGCTAGGATGTGCTAAAAATTCAGCGAGCAGAATTTAATACATTATGTTGTGCCACGTGGAGAAAGGCTTAGTGCCGACCTGAGGCATCTGTTTGAAACATAGGCAGGGGAGGAGAGCTGAGCGCTCATCCCTCAGGCACTGGTGGGCAAGGGTTCCTCGGCCTGGAGCACCTGGCCCTGTGGGCAGTTGGGCCCGTTAGAGATTTCACAGCTCACTCCTCAGCTCTGATCATGCCCACCCACATCGAGAGGGCGGCCTGACTGGCAGCATGTGCGTCCTGCCCTGCTGACGGCTGGATTTCTCTGCCAACAGGGAAGCCAGGCTCTCGTCTCCTTTATGACAGTTCTAGGGATTTACTATGATTAGTTCCCTGTCTTCAAAGTTCAGATTCCTAAATCTATACAGTGTTCTAGCATTTCTGTGTTTTAGGTCCTCCTCTGAGTATTACCTTGTACCCTGTAGAAATGTGTTTTAACAATTTATCTTGAACTACCTGTCACCGGAAAGAAAGGGCACAGTCCCTCTCTTGCTTTAGCCTCGGGGTGAGCTGCTCCCTGCTGCTCAAACACGTGCTCCTGCAGCGTCTCCGTCTCCGCAGTGCTGCGAAGAGATGGCCAACCCCACCGACTCTCTGTGAACCCCGGGCCTGTCCTTTCTGTTGATTGTAATTTACACACACAAAGTAACACATGTCTTCAGTTTATAGCTGAATGAACTTGTCCCCTGTTGCTTGTCTCACGCCCTTTCTACCGGAGTCTCCAGGGTTTTGCCTGGCTGCGCCTGCGGGCCTGGTGGTCCTTGTTGTGCTGTTTCCTCCTTGGGCTTTCGTCCCCTTTATGTTCCAGTAATTTCTTGATGCTTTTTGTCCACTGGTGGTTCTGTTTTATTCTTTTCACTATTGTACTTTTTCCCTTCTGTGAGAGGTTTCTCTGCTCGAATAGCTCATGTTGATTTTTTCTCATTGCTGTCAACAGGCGCCTGCTTGTGCCAGAGCGAGAGACGCTGTTTAATACCCTGGCCAACAACAGGGAGATCATCAACCAGCAGAGGAAGAGGCTGAACTGCCTGGTGGACAGTCTCCAGCAGCTGCGCCTTTATAACCACACTTCCCAGTGGAGCCTCCCCTCGGAGGCCCCCTCCCAGAGCAGTACTCACAGGTGTGTGGGAGGATGGGCCTCTTGGGGCCACTTGCACTCAATAAATGCGGCTGAATGAATGGATGCACATTTGGGAGTAAGGTGCACTTGTCTTAAAGTGGTTCAGATGTGAGTTTGAAAGGGACTCTGCTGTCTCTCACCTGTGTCACCCTGGTTAGGTTCCTCACCCTCTCTGATCCTTTGTTCCTTTGCTTAAAACATGGAGGTAACAATACCTGCCTCCTGGGGTAGTCAGGGGGTTAAATTAAGTCTGGAAAGCACCTAGTGTGTGTGTGGTGAAACGAGCTCAGTGGATGACAGCAGACACTACAGTAATCATATTGTGTTATTTAAAATTAACTGATAGACTAGTTGACTGACTTGTCTCAGAGCTTTGAGTTGTCCTTTTGCTTGGGTGTGGGACTGTCAGACCCTAGCAGTGGGACGGTTTATCTTGGAAGCTCCCCAGGTGGTTTTGTGTTTCTGCCTTTAGGCCAGGTGTGTGGGTTTCCTGCCCCTTTGCTGAAGTGCTGCCAGTGGCGGTGCCACAGGATGGCTGCCATCTCTTCCTTTTGGATTGATCACATCGATTGGTCCAACTGCCTGTTTCTCTATGGGGGATGCTCTCCTTTCCTGCACTAATATTCAGGATCATGTGCCCCCTTCACCCCCTCAGATTTCTCTGGTCATAGTTCATTTATATATTATACTATCTGATTTCAGTTTTGACAATGACTTGGAAAGTCTGCGTAATGCTTTGTTGAAAACCACCATAGAGTCTCACACCAAACCCTTGCCGAAGGTACCAGGTAAATGCATCCTTCCCAGTCCTTTAACGCTTTGTTTTCTTCCATCTGCTGACCAAGTTTTAAGCATTTACGGGTTCATGGATCTCTTGCAGCTAAACTGTCCCCTGTGAAACAGGCACAGCTGAGAAACTTCTTGGCCAAGAGGAAGACCCCACCAGTGAGATCCACTGCTCCAGGTAAAGGGAGCTGAACTTTCTCACACAGACCACACATACATGGTGTGGGAGTGGTGTGTGTGTCCGTGTGTCTGGCTGGGTCTGTGTGTCTGTGTTTTCCCGTTGGTTCATAATAGGAGCTAGAGAAAAAGGCCCAAGAACCTGTTGCCCGTCAGAATGCTGGAGTGGGCCGCTGCTGGCACGTGCTCAGCCAGGCGGCTTGGTGGTGGTTTGGCTTTTGCACCCGGTTTCTGACGTCCTCAGGTTGAGTAAGTGATTCCCAAGGGTTTGGGGATGCTGGGCTGACTCCACAGATCGTAGCCTCAGCTTTAGAAGCTTGACTTTTCTGATTTTGTGTGGGGTTTTGAGTAAGATTGTATTTTTAAAAAGGCTTCTTTTTTTAAAGAAGAGAAAAACCCACTGACTGGGGACTGATGGCTAAAAACCCTGGCTGAGAGGAAGCTGTGTAACTGGGGGAAAACTTGCTTTGCCATTATCTAGATAACACCTCAATTTTCTTTTTTAAAATGTATGTTATATACAACTTCAGTCATAGCTGTGCTTTGCTTTTGTGCCCATATCTGCTTTTTTTTTCCTTTGAAATTGTTTTGAGTTGAAATTGTTTTTTTTATACCAATAACAAACTTTTTTCGATAATTAAAATAGCAGAAGGAGATTTAACTTAATCTTAACATATCGTGATCTGTTCATTTTTCTGTAATCATAAAGCTAAATTAGGTAACAAATGAGAGAAGTCTTGTTTTAACCTTTACCCTAGAATGTTGCTTCTCAGGAGGAGTGGAAGGGAGACAGAGAGAGAGAGGGAGAGAAACAGAGAGGGGGAGGGAGGGGACATTGATTCGTTGCCTCCTGCAGGCGCCCCCGTTGGGGCCGGGGGTCAAGCCTGCAACTGAGGGACCAGAATCAAACCTGAGAGCCTTCAGCCCTCGGGCCGGCGCTCTAATCGCTCCCCACACCACGTGGCTCAGAGTGGAATTACTGGCTTTTGTTTCGTCCACATGCTCAATTTCAGTGGATGCTGCCGTACAGCTTTTTAGAGCGGTTGTACCAATTTACACTTTTACCTTCAAGGCATGAATATTCCAGCTGCTCCACATCGTCGGCAAGCTTGCTGTTGTCAGTCTTTTTCCTTGTAACTGTGTCTTTTGCAAAGTGCCTGATTAAATCTTTTGCTCATTTATCTATTGCATAATCTGTGCTATTGATTTGTAAAAGTTTTTATAAATTCTTTTTCTTCGCTCTACTCCTTGCCCAAGGATATGTTTATTGATTTTAGAGAGAGGGGAAGGGAGAGAGAAATATCCATCAGTAGCCTTTCCTACGCTCCCCGACTAGGGATCAAACCTGCAGCCTAGTTATGTGCCCTGACTGGAATTGAACCCGCAGCCTCTTTGGTGTACAGATGACACTCCAAGCAGCTGGATAGCAGTTATTTGGATATGTGGTTTGCAGGCTATCGTTTTGTCTTTTTCCCTCCCAGCGAGATCTTTCTTGGAACAGACTTTTGCAGTTACTACTTGGCTGGCTCTGTTTAAGAAATCTCTGTCTCTAAGTAGCACATGTGCACACACCTTTATTATTGTCTAGAAATGTTCACATTTTGCTTTTCAAATTTAGACCTGTCTACCTGGAATTTTTTTTTTTTTTTAAACAACTCTATTGAGGTATAAAAGCCATACAATATCATAAAATTCACCTGTTGTGTAAGTGTACAGTTTGATGATTTTGGGTAGATTTACAGAATTATGTAACCATTATCACATTCCAGTTTTAGAATATTTCCATCGCTTAAATAGTTTCGTCCTGGCCATGGCCAGGTAGCTCAGTTGGTTGGAGCATTGTCCTGTACACCAAAAGGTTGCAGGTTCAATCCGTGGTCAGGGCACATACAAGAAGCAGCCGATGAATACATAAGTAAGTGGAACAACAAACCGATGTTTCTCTCTCTCCCTCTCGAATTAATTTTTTTTTAAAGTGCTCTGGTGAAGTAAGTCCTATGCAGTAGACCTTGTGCGACAGTAGAAGTGTTTTGTATCTGCTGTTCATACAGTGGCCACATGTGGCTGTTGAGCCCTTAAAATGTGTGTGGTACAGCTGAGGACTTGAAGTTTAATTTACTTTTCATTATTTTTCACTTAAATGGCCTCAGATGGCCAATGGCTAGCAAATTGAAGAGCGCCGCCCTAGCACGTAGCATTGGCTTTCGGTTGCATTTGCTTATGCCACACGTAATTGTGACAAGTAAAACCTTGTAGGATGTTGTGTCTATAGGGCAGACCAGTCAGTAAATATTAGCAGTGCTGTTTTAAATAACTGGGGGAGGAGAAATGTTTTTTGATTTTGTTTTTTCCCAGTACACGGGCTGTAAGAGGCATTCCAGAATCCATGGTAGAGGGTAAAATGCCATAAAGCCTTATTGGTAGTTCATAGAGGGAAAACAGGGAGGTCAGGACTGGTTTCAGTATTTTTTTAAACTTAATTGATTCAGAAGAATCGTTAGATTTAGCTGGAAATGTCTAAGACAGGACTGAGAACCTTCTGTTTACAGTATGCATTAGGCCCATCCTTAGGAATTGTTGGAAAGGTGGCGGCAGTGGCAATGGTGTGACTGTTCCCTGTGTTGTGGACGCCTCTCTGTTACTTTTCTGATACGTTACAACTCTGCCTGTGAGAACTGCTGCTGCTGAGGGCACAGGGTTTCTCACTTTCGCGCCAGCAGTCATTCAGCCTCTCACTTCACTTTTTTTTTAATATGTTGTTACTGATTTCAGAGAGGGGAAGGGAGAGATAGAAGCATCAGTGATGAGAGATGGTCATTGATCAGCTGCCCTCCTGCACGCCCCCTGCTGGGATCAAGCCCGAAACCTGGGCATGTGCCCTGACTGGGAATTGAATGGTGACCTTCTGGTTCCTAGGTGGACATCCAACTGCTGAGCCTCGCCAGCCGGGCTCTCATTTCACATCTTTTTTGTTTCACAATCCACTACAGAGCTCAGTATTTTAAAGCCCTATTTGGAGACCCCAAACCATCTTTGTTAACATTTGACAACAGCTGCTTCCACTAAAGTAATAATTATGTTGTTTTACAGATTGACTATTTCTCTGTTGATGGTGCAATTGCATAGCTCTTGGGTGGCTTCATTACTGACTTGGATTTTGTTTTGGGCTCTGTAGCCAGCCTGTCTCGGTCGGCCTTCCTGTCTCAGAGATACTATGAAGACTTGGATGAGGCCAGCTCGACATCATCCATCTCCCAGTCTTTGGAGAGCGAGGACACACGGGCACCCTGTAAAGATGACGATGCCGGGGTGCCGGTCCCTCGGCACGCCCCCGTGGTCCGCACACCCTCCATCCAGCCCAGCCTCTTGCCCCAGGCAGCAGCTCCGTTCCCTAAGTCTCACCTGAGTCCACCTGGTCCACCTGGCGTAATGGGAGCTTCAGGTAAGGAAACAATGAGACAGGAAACTGTTTTCCCATTGGGTTTCGAACTCAGGAAGCAACTGCAGCTGGGCTTTGTACTGTCCCGCTACTAAGTGGTTAGTTCCAGCCTGTTCCTGCTAATGTCCCAGAAATTTGACCACTGATTCAAAAGGGGCATTTTCGCCTTGGGAGCAGGTGGGAGGACACTGTGAGGAAGAAGAGAGGGGTTCCCACTGTCACAGCTCTGCTGTGGGTCCCGCCTGTGTTGACTTAGCCAGGTCTTTTTGGAGGAGTAGGAGCAGTTCGCCCCAGCGGAAGCAGCGCCCCCCCCCCGGGCCCCGTGCGTCCCGGCTCGCGTCAGCTCCCTGCGTGCGGCCGTGTTCCACCTCGGAACTCCCAGCACGCACTCATTGTCAGCGTCGGCTCGCCGAGGTGACCGATGTCGGAGTGTCAGGGCCGTGCAGTGAAGTGGCTTCTGACAGATCAGACGACAAGAGTGCGGCACGGGATGGAGAGGTTTTATGAGAGGAGAGTGGGAAGCTGATCAGATTGCTCTGTGTTGGCGTGAAGGTCACGTCCCGGTCAGTATCGGGGGAAACGGTCATGTAAAGCAGCGACTTCCGAGTGGCGAGCTGCAAGAATTTTTAAAATGTGCAAGACCTGACTGTTTCATCAGGGCACTGCCCTCTTTTCCTTAGATTGTCAGATAAAAAAAATGACAGCAGCCAACACTACAGTAGTCATCTGGTGTTTGCCTTTTTTTTTATCAGAGCGGCAGAACATGCTCTCTGGTGCGCTGTGGAGTTTTAGTAGTAATTAGTTTATGTGCATGAGATGAAAAGGTTGGAGATCGCTGGTGTAAAGACTTTTAGTTAATGGAGGGGAGCAGGCGAACTACATGTGGCATCTTTGAAAGATACAGGTACCAGCCTATCTGTTTACTGGTACTTTTCTGTGTTCATGCTTTAGGATTTTTAATCATAGCATTTTCCCTACAGCCTACCATGGAGAATTTACCATTTTGATTTTTGTGTTTTCCTCTTCTTGGCCTACTCTCTCATTTCATTTTCTGTTTCCCACAGTGTCTACTTCTGCCAGCAAAATCATTCCTCAAGGGGCCGACAGTACAATGCTTGCAACAAAAACCGTGAAGCACGGTGCGCCGGGTCCTTCCCACACCATCCCAGCTCCCCAGGCGGCCGCTGCGGCAGCACTGAGACGGCAGATGGCCAGCCAGGCACCAGGTAAGAGTGGAGCCCACACCTCTGCGGAGGCTGGATGTGAGCTGCCTGCAGGATAGGCTGGGCCAGCAGGTGCCAACTAACACCTGGCTCTGCTGCCGTTCAGAAGAGAAGGCTGATGTGACAGCCTCTCTCCTTTTGGGGGAAGAGTTCTGAGAAAGCTGAGACTAGGTCTGAACTGTTTCCTTTTAAGGGGAGGTGTTAGATCTGCCACATTCAGATAAGCAGGAAGTCTGGTTTTTTAATGAACTTCGTAATCCCTCCTTTTTTTTTTTTTTAATATATATTTATTGATTTCACAGAGAGGAAGGGAGAGAGAGAGTTGAAACATCAATGATGAGAGAGTCACTGATCAGCCACCTCCTGCATGCCCTAACTGATAAGAAGCAGAACCCAGACTCCGCCCTAGGTCTTCCCCTTGTGTCACAGCTTCTTAGGATGGCAGGTGTGGCTGGTACAGGTGGGAACTCTTAATGCGTACTTGCATTTTGTCAGTCTGTGGCTTCCACATACTCTGTGCCAGGACTTCTGGGTAGTTGGCCTCAAGGACTTCCGTTGTCACTAGTTACCCATTTGTACAAGCCAATGGTTTCCCCCCACCCTCGCCCCCCAGCAGTTGGCAGTGTTGGTAGCAGAGGCCAGGAATGCTGCAGAAAAATCTTTGTTAAAAGTTTATTAGCTGCTATTATTTTTGCTTATCATGGGTCACTTTTATTAAAAGCATCATTCAAAAAGCATCATTATTACAGTTGGCAGCAATTTACAGTTTATCTTACATGGTAGTAATTTTCAAAGAAAAGGTAAAAGGACATCACAACAGAAAAAACAGCACATTTACAGTCCTGTAAACGCCAAGGCTATTTCAGAGCCAAGGTCATGCTGTTGAGCTCTGTGGCCTAAAGTAACAAAGTCCTTGCATTTAAAAAAGTACCTGATTCCCTACTTTCTCCCTCTTAATTTGTTCATCTCCTTACTTTGTTTACACCGGTGCATTATAAGACCACAAGACAATGGGACAGTAGTTCTGTCTGGGCAGAACCCTCTCAGTAGGTTAATTTCCAAAGGGGCCCTTCACATTCAGCAGCTGCCTGAGTATTGCAGTGCCTTGGGACAGAGCCGGTGAGGTTGTCAGAGTGTGTGGATGTGTGTGCGTAGGTGTGGGAACCCCCTACAGTCAGAAGGGGAAGCAGATGAGCAGGTGTGATGTGTGTGGTGATGTGTGGTGAATTTCATCTTGACCTTCACGCCAAAGAAATTAAGTATATAAAGCCACCCTTCCTTTGAGCACTGCTTCCTTCCGGGAGAGCCACTCAGTTACAAATTGCCCTTTATGATAATACCAGTGGTACTAGAAGAAAAAAGGGAAGGAAAGAGCATTATGTAAGTTTCCTTAAAAAGACATGATCACCTTGCAAATGTCATCTCTCCTAGGGACATGGAATAAGGCACTGCGTGGTCCTTATGATCAAGACCCCTGTGACACACCTGTGTAACATCACTTGGCTGTTAAACTGCACAGGACCCCCACAGCAAAGGATTGTCCAGCCTCTAAATGTCAAGAGTGCCAAAGTTGAGAAACTGCTATAAATCAATTTTTTTTTGTTTTAGATGAATACAATTACTTTTTAGTTTTATCACTGCTTGGAACACATGTCAATTTAGACAGGTTTTTTTAAAGACTAAAAAGACATGATGGTTTGATTTAGACAAAAAATCACCATTATACAGTGATAAAAAGTTTCTAAGAAAAATTCAGGTATCAAACCCCTTATCGCGGCATCTCAGATAGTCGCGAAGAGGCATAAACAGGATACCTTCAGGGTACCTCTGAGCCTCTGAGAGAGGCGAATCCTTTGATGTTTCCTGTGCATGTTACCGGGACCAAGCAGAATCTGGGCCTTGTGCTGAACGGGCCCCAGATCATGTGGATGGAGCTGATTATTTATAAACTGAAATCTGCCAGGCAGGCCTTAACCTTTTTCCACTGTCAGCAGGAGGGGGTGTGATGTCTATTATCATTCTGGAAGCAGAAATTCCTAAGGGCAGACACTTTGAATGTGAGGGGAAGTTTGTGCAGTGTGGGCAGGAAGGCCTGGTTGCCCCTGTGGGGGAGAGCAAGCTGCCATGGATTCACGTTCCTCCCAGGCCACAGCTTTCACTTTGCCACATATATAGTTGAAGAGACCCAAGAGCTTTGCTCAGGCCTTCTTAATAGTTCATTATAAAATGTCATTAAGGCCCTGGCAGGTTTGGCTCAGTGGTTAGAGTGTCAGCCCGAGGACTGAAGGGTCCCAGGTTGGATTCCGGCCAAGGCCTTAATCCTTGATTGCAGGCTCGATCCCAAGCCCCAGTCGGCGCTCAAACAGGAGGCCACCAATCGATATCTCTCTCCCCCTTCCACTCTCTCTGAAGAGCAATGGGAAAAATATCCTCAGGTGAGGATTTTTAAAAAAAAAAAAATCACTAAGCCCTAGAATACAGTTTTAAATTATAAGACACACAAAAAAAAGAGAGGTGTGAAAGCTGACAAACTTGATGGGTGAGGAGGAGTCAGGTCAGTCCCGGTTGCCATTCCTTTTCCCCCATCCTCCCCCAGGCTCCATTGCATCTGTCTCACTGAGCATGAGCCCTTCAGAAACGAAGCCGTATGTTAGACACTTTGTACCCCCAGCACCTAACAGAGCCTGGCAGTAAAAGCCGAGTGAAAGAGTGGTTGAACCAGTGAGCGGAGAGCTCCTTAGTTTGCTGCGAATCCTCTGTCGCGTTTTGCCCTTTTCCGAGATGCGCCAACACTGTGGCAGGTAATCCCAGCTCTGCTCTATAAAATCTGGCCAAGGAACTTTTCTCCCTGAACTGGGACATTTGATGAAATTGCACGTATCTTCGTCTCAGCATCTGTATGAATGGAGGAGGCCAGGTGCCCACTGGACACAGCACTGCAGAGCTGCCTAGAGCAGATTCCTTTCTCCAAGAGGACTGCATCCTGCTGGGCTTTCTGTCCTGGTGGTTTACCTGTGGCCAGGCTTTCTGTTCCCTCACTGCAGCTAATATGCCTCTCTGTTCTGTTTCAATAGCTGTAAGTACTTTGACTGAGTCAACTTTGAAGACTGTCCCTCAAGTGGTAAACGTGCAGGAACTGAAGAATAACCCTTCACCCGCCTCCGCGGCGATGGGGTATGTGACACCTTTGCCCTGCGTCAGCCAGGGAATTATTCTGTCCTAGCGAGGGACTGCCTGCAGGGAGCAGCATGGCTGCTGGGGGGGGGGGGG